GGGGAGGGATCTCCCGTTCACTCGAAGGCTCACAGGTACCGGTGCGCGAGGAAACTGGCCTCGCTCGGATCAAGTCCGCCTCTCTCCCCAGTTTACTCTGTCCTGCCGACGGATTTGCATCGGTCGACGCTTTCAAATCATTGGTGACGCACAAATGTAAATATTCGGGGGATTTCAACTATTTTTTCCCCCGTTTTTGGGACCTGAAAATCGGGTTTTGTGATCTTTTGTTGGACGTAAAAAATTTTAAGCCACAATCATTTTTTTTTCGCAATTCGCGAAGTATTTTGCATTTTATTTTGTATTTTTTTAGTGAAGTGAAATATTTTTCTCTGTAATTTTTTTTTATTTTTGGGTTATTTATATTTTACTGCAATTTTTGCAAAATTTTATTCTCTTTTCTTCGACCCGAAAGTCAGGTTTTTATGATTTTTTCTGTAAGTAAAAAAATTTCAACGCCAGAATGTTTTTTTTCGCAAATCGTGAAGTATTTCGCATTTTATTTTATATTTTTTTGGTGAAGTAAAGTATTTCTCTCTGGGATTTTTTTTTATTTTTGGGCTATTTATATTTTATTGCAATTTTTTCAAACTTTCTTTTGCGCAAGTGATTTTTTCCTTTCAATTTAAATAATTTTTGAAAACCAAATGTTGAAAAATTCATTTTTTCTTCAATCGTGAAGAAAAGTTTTTTTTTGATGATTTCCCTATTATTTTAATTCATTTTATTTATTCAGTCTTTTTATTTATTCACCACCAGTATCGCAGCGGAAGCCAATAGTAGAATTCCATAGGTATAGAGATAAATTTTCGTTAGGAGTTTGAGTTTCGAAGAAGTTTGAAATTGTTTATTTATACTTCAAATTTTTTTTTCAATTTTTTTTTGTGAAAGTGTTTTTTTTCATCAGCGTTTGCCATTTATTAAATCATTTGAAATCAATATTTGTTTTTCTTTTTCAATTTGCGAAGAGGAATATTTTTTTCTCAAGGCATTCGATAATTTTTAAAAATTTGCATTACTTCCTTGATTTTATTCTCCAAATTTTCGAATTTCAAATTTTTTTTTTCTCATTTTCGGGTGAAAAAATCACAATTTCACATTTTCCAACGGAAAAAAATTGTTTTTCCTTTGCGAAGAGCCCGAGTGAATCTGAAATCAAATGAATATTATAAATAATTTCAATCAATGTTCATATTGTTCAAAAATAGACTTCAATTTTGTTTCGATCAATTTTTTATGCAAAACAGATATTTCCCCTGAATTTTCGTTGATTAAAAATCATTCCAAACAAATGTTCAATTTTCTTTTTCAATTTGTGGCGAGGAGCAGTTTTCCTCAAAATATTCCGTAATTTTTTCAATTTTTCAACATTTCCTCAATTATATTTTCCAAATTTTCGAATGTCAAAATAATTCTTTTCTCATCTTCCAGTGAAAAAAATTCCAATTTCCCATTTTCTAACGAAAAAAAAATTGTTTTTCCTTTGCGAAGAGCCCGAGTGAATCTGAAAGCAAACGAATAATATAAACAATTTTGATAAATTTTCCTGTTTAAAACCAAAAAAATTTTTTTTTTCCAGGGAAGTGACGACTTGAAAAATTTCTGCAAAAAATATGTGAAATTCCGTGTTTGTAGTGGGGGTACCACTGAAAAAACTAGTTTTTGTGATAATTTCCCCATTTTTCTCAATTTTTTTAAGTGAAATTTTTTTTTCTTTTGGTGGAATTGAAGCGAAATTATCAAGATTGCGTAAAATCTGGACGCTCCTTCCGGTAATTATCACGCCCTGGTGGCGATAACTATGAAAAATCGTCTGAGTGTAACGGATCACTCGAACACCAGTGGGCGCTAGTTCTCCTGGATTTTACTTGTTATTTTTCTATCTTCATTTCAACTGCGGGATTACGAGGAAAAGAACAACATCCTCGAGTGGTTTCCCGAGTTGTGTCCTTTCGTGATAAGCGCGAGTGATAGGAGGTGCTCGGGTTCAAGTGGTGATGAGTAAGCGAGTGTGAGAGACGACGAGATCATGTGGAGGACGTGAAAGAGATTTTAATACTAGGAACTAATTCATTTAGGTGAGTTTAATTGTGTTTTAAATTAATCATATATTATTGGTGAATAAATTTCTTGGGGCTGGGGAACGTTCGACATGACATGCATTTTTTTATGAACTTATGATTTTTCGTTGCAAAAATTATTTTTTTCAGTCAATTTTTTTCGATTTTGAGTTTTTTCAATTTTTTGAATTTGATTTTGTGAAATTGGCAGGTGTTGGAGGGATGGTTTTCATCATTTTCCTGTTTCTTTTTTGGAAAAAGAATTTTTCAAAGCAAATTTTCTTTTTTTTTTAGTCTTTTTCATTTTTTTGCATTTTATTCAGGATTTTTTTTTAAAAAGTGATCGCATTGTTGAATATTTTTTTAGGTGAGTTCAATTGTTTTTAAAATGAATCAGATATTATTGGCGAATAAATTTCCTGGGGCTGGGGAACATTCGACCTGACACGGATTTTTTAATGAACTTATGGATTTTTTTAACAAAAAAAAGATTTTTTCAATTAATTTTTTTTCAATTTTTGAGTTTTTTTACTTAAAAAATGTGGTTTTGGAAAAATTTTAGTGAAAAAATATTTTTTAATTAGCCGGCATTATAGGTGTGGGAGGGATGGTTTTGAAAAATAATTTCTCAGATTTTTTTTTTGAAAAAAATGTTCAAAGCAAATTTTTGTTTTTTAATGCTTTTTCATTTTCAAAACCTTTATTCAAGATTTTTTTTTTCTTGAAGAAAAAGATCGCATTGTTGAATACTCAAGCAATTTTCTCACAATTTTTTTTATACTAAAATTAATTTTTTTAATGCAATTAGCAATTTTTAAACTTGTTAATTAAAAAAATTTTCATTTTGCGAAATTTTTGTGGAAGAATATTTTTTTCTAAAATTGACTATCATTGTACATGATCAAAAAATTGCTTTCAATAGTTCTTCTCAATTTTTTTAATGCACACATTTTTTAAATTCGCCGTAACGTCTCGATTTTTTAAACAAAAAAATCCCATTTTTTAAAGAATTTTCTCCACTTTTATTCTCCAGTTTTATTGGATGGAACAACGTTATATAACAATCCAATGCATTAATTGCTCATCTTAATAATTAAAAAAAAAAATTCCGAAACGATTTCTAATATTATTCATTAAATGATTACCTTATAAATAATTTCACAATAATTTGTTTTAATTATGATTTCGTCACCCAATTTAATGTTCAAAATCACTCTCTCCATTTTCCCCATAACTTCCCGATTGATTATCACCACTGGGAATTCCCCTCATATTTCATAATTTAAAAAACCGGAAATAAAACTGAAAACAATTTTTTTCCCTGAAAAATCGCTGAATAAATTCTTCACAAATAACGAAAGGAAATAGATGTTTGACGCACGCGCCCCAGAAAAAGGTCCTCCTGCGTGTTCTTCCCCGTAAACCGCGAGAAAAAACTCGTTTGACTATCGTGTGAGAATCACTCCACCGTTCGTCACTATTTGCCATCAATTATCACATATTTCCATAATGTGTGCTATTCTCCGGGGTCCAGCGACGACTCGCGATTCACGATAATCACAGACTTGGCTATATTAAGGATATCCAAGTATCTTTTACAGTTTGATACAGACCACACTATAGATTTAACCATTTTCCATCATTAAATTTGTCAATTCAGTAGCGAAGTGGTAAAATGAGATGAGTCAATTTTGACTATTGACCAGTTTTCAATGAATATCTCGGAATCTAAGGGAGATAGAAAAATTTTCGTAATAACCTTTTCTGTGGATCTTGACCCGCTCTACAAAAAAGGTCATGACAAACATTTCGCCATCTGCCTTAGATTCCGAGATATTCATCGAAAACTGATCGATAATCAAAATCGAGTTGCGGGGCCCCATAACCCCCGTTGGTCAATGCCTCACGTGTTAGACGTCCGAATTTCATTATTTATTATCTCCTAAACTGTGTAGTACAGCTAGTTAGCATTTTTTAAATAGCTAGAGGCTATTATAAACATTATCTATGAAAAACATGGAGACAATCTTTAAAAAAAGTATTTTCTAGGGATATACCTTAAGTCGACTTAGTTCTTCGCTGAGTTTTCGAGGAATATCTCCAAAACTAAGGGAGATAGAAAAATTTTCGTAATAACCTTTTCTATCGCCCGTGATCCGCTCTACAAAAAAGGCCATGACAAAAATTTCGCCATCTGCCTTAGATTCCGAGATATTCATCGAAAACTGATCGATAATCAAAATCGAGTTCGGGGGCCCCATAACCCCCGCTTGGTCAATGCCTCACGTGTTAGACGCCCGCATTTCATTATTTATTATCTCCTAAACTGTGTAGTACAGCTAGTTAGCATTTTTCAAATAGCTAGAGGCTATTATAAACATTATCTATGAAAAACATGGAGACAATCTTAAAAAAAAGTATTTTCTAGGGATATACCTTAAGTCGACTTAGTTCTTCGCTGAGTTTTCGAGGAATATCTCCAAAACCAAGGGAGATAGAAAAATTTTCGTAATAACCTTTTCTATGGATCTCGATCCGCTCTACAAAAAAGCTTATAGCAAAAATTTCGCCATCTGCCTTAGATTCCGAGATATTCAATGAAAACTGAACGATAATCGTGATTGACTTGAACCGTTTTACCGCTTCACCACTGATATGCATATTTATTTCATATGAGCATGATGTAATATCATTTCACCATATAATTGGCCTCGTCTGTTGCGTCTTGAATAAATAAATAACAAATAATAAATGAAAAAACCTCATGACAACACTTTCCAGAATTTCCGTGAATTGCAAAAATTGAAGGATAACTCAATCAGTTATTGAATAATCCAAAAATTCACGAAAAAATGCAGATGAAATTGCGCAACTGGAAGATTATAACGTACTTCTTGCTACTTTCTATCGGACTTTCTCCCGTATCTACCATCGGCGATACGCGGATCTGTGAATCTAGGGAGTTTCTCCGGTTTTTGGAGAAAATTTTTGTGCCCCGAAACGAGAAAATGAGACGACCCCGGTAGGACATGACTATCCACAGGCCCAGGTTAGGCCGAGGGTGGCCCAGTGCTGGCTGAAATGTTTGAGACTTGGTGATTATCAACGTGCGAATTTTGGGTGGAAATACACTAAGAGAGAAGAGCGAATTCCAAGTAAAGGTTTTTTGGATCAGCAAAATACTTGTCTAATGATCACCAATGTAGAAATTATGTCATTTGAACATGCAAAATTTCCAAACATGAATAATAAGATGATTCAATAAATAATGGGTCTCATCACTTTGAGAATCTGCATTCTGCGGATAATTTCCCATCCCCTGTCGACGATAGATTATCCGATCAAAAAATCTGATCTGATGCTGAAAATTGAGGTAATACTTTGTTCATGTTTCGCTCGAGATTTGGAAGAGGCAGCATGAACATGTAGATATTTTGGCTCTGCTTTCAACAAAGAAACATTTGGCTCAAGAGGCTGATCATTCGCGGGGAGACCGTGACATTTCAGGATGAGAATATCTCTCACAAAGTCAAGCTGAATGATAAATATTTCGTTCCAAGTTACAGGGCCGTTATCGCATCGTCATTGTTATTCTATTTAAAAATTCATTTCTTGTATTTGAGTATTGAATAGCCGAAACGACACACAAATAACAATTTCGTTGAATCATTCATACAAATTTCTCGACCCACAAATGTTAGCTATTCGGCGCAAACAGCTATTTGGTCGTTGTTCAGCATCAAACAAACATTTTACGAGACCAAAATAGGCGTGCGAGTGATGAAAATGAAGTTTCTTGATTGCACAGAAAACATTTATTTTTTGAAACAACCAAATCTATTTTTCAGACGAAAATTTGTCATCTCAAAGCACTTTTGAAACATGAATTACACAAAGTTTTAGACATATTTCCACTTTGTGCATAAAAAATCTTGAAACTTATTTGTTTTCCTTTCGTCGTTGGGATTCCTCCGCCAGAAAGAATGATTTAATAATCTCAGAATAAAAAGAAATATGAAAAAATATTAAAGTATACCCCGAGGCGATAATGACCCTACCGCCTGTAATTTGCCATGTGCAATAAACATCATTGTACTTCTCGGAATTACTCATTTAATCACTTTTGCATCAGAATTACGATAGCCTCTTTCATAATTACCCCCCCGTGCAATTCATCACCGATCGTCAGGTCGAGAGTCAGGATTGTTTGCCATTATGCGAGGGTCTGCTGACGCGTGAAAAATCAGAAGGTATTTCATTGCGTTTCGTAAGGAGGCGTTAATGGAACCACCGACTCTGGAGAATTTGGGGCGTTTTTATTACTCTTTATTCCCGTGAAATTGAGTTTACGTAATTTCTCTGGTGTTGAAAATATCCACAATTTTTTATGGCATTTCCAAAGCTTTTTGTTCGTGAAAAAAGTGCGTGGATTTTTTTTAGACAATTTGACGTTTTTTCAGGGAATTTTTTATTCTTTTTTTTCAGAGGAAATATGCCGGCAATACAATTGTTCGGCCGCAAATGGCTCGCGGCCACTGACGACCTTGTGTATCCAGGACTCTTTGAGATATTCATCCGAGTCGTCTGGTAAATAATTAGCTATTTTCATGAATTTATTTCTTTTTGTTTCCAAAATTTAAGTTTCCAATTTTTTTGTTAGGGCAATTAACTAAGAATTTTCTTCATTTTTTTTTCGAAATTTTCTTTAAAGTGACGAATTGAATTCCATGAATTTTTTCACAACTGCAGACTTTAATAAGCTCTATTCATTGACACCAATTAAAATTCAATTTATCATACAGATTCGAAACAATTGATATTTTTCCAAAAATCGATTTTTCAACGATCACTCAAAAAATTGTCATCAAAATGGAATTAGTGATGGCTCAAAAAATTGATAACAATACCCTCTTGATTCTATCAGAAATGATGGAGCTCGCACAATTCGTTGTTGAGTTACAGCACATTGTTTATGCGATTTGAAAGAGAAAATCAGTTTTTTCATGATTACTGAAAGAATCATCAGTAATAGCAATTAAATCAGGGCTTGAAAAGTATATTTCAATGGCTTCTTAATCAAATTGAAAAATGGTGAGAACAGCATCTTTGCTTATCAAGTTACACAATACCGTCATGAGCTTTTTATATAAAAATCTCTATCTCTATTAAACTCAGGTACCAGTCTATTATGTTGAATACTTATTCATATTGATTCATGGTCCCGACTAACTTCTGACAGAACCTGGGTCAAACTCTGGCTAAATCCTGAATAAACCCTGATTAAATCCCGGCTATACACTGATTAAACCTTGATTGAACCTCGATTAAACCCGGACTGAAAACGAATTCGAGTCTTGAGAGGGTCTGAATGTAGAATTATTTGACAGAACGAAGTAATCCGCAAAAATTTGATGACACTTCATTCAAACCTTGACCCTAAAAGTTCTTAAAGGTCATCTGACCCTTAAGGATGTTCGACACCCTTTTAGCCAAAATTGACGTTGTTTTCATTTTTCTGGCAAATTATCGATGGGAGTGACGTGAAAAAATATAACGATTTTGTGGTTTGTCATTCTTTAATGGCTCACGAAGTTGCGTAGTGGTGCGATAATTTTCATGCGTTTTTTCTACAGTTTTGTGATTCTTTTTAAAAGTTTAGAGAAAACGCAGGAAAATGTTCGCACCACCTTAAAATTTCGTCAGTCATTAAATAATGACAAAACGCAAAAACGTTATATTTTTTCACGTCAATTCCATCATAAGTTTGCCAGAAAAATTAAAAAAACGTGAATTTTGGGAGAAAGGGTGTAGAACATCCTTAAGACCCTTCGAAATCACATAAATTTGCTTCGTTTTCATTCTAGGTTCGTTCTACTCGGCATCGCCTGCATGCGATACTACGCCGAGACCTGGAAATGCAAGACAGGGGGCGAACTGGTGCGAGTATTTCTCGCAGGAGAACTGGTGATCCTGGGGGTAGTCACTATCCTCGTCTTCGTCATCGTCAATCACAGCGCCAGGGGCTCTATCGTGGACACCTACGCCAGGAGATTGGTCGAGCCCCTCTTAACAGTGAAGTAATTAATTTTCTATTTCTCCCATCATCTCTATCACATTTCAAATACCATTTCCAATTGTTCGCTCAGGGCTTCGAGCTGGCGTTCCCGTCAGGGTCATAAAATTAAAATCGATCATTAAAAAAATCATAAAACTATTGACTATTAACTATTAACTATTAGAATGAAGAAAAGGAAGCAAAAAAAAATTAACTCCAATTTTTCGTCTTAATTTATTGTTTAGGATTCTATTGTTGCTCCCGGAGATAATCTGGAATGTCCTGGGGACTCTCTGGATCTTTACGGATCACGTGCAATGCACAAATGAAAATTTTACGTTCGCAACGATCGAGGCACTCGTCTTCTTCGACTGGGTCCTCATCGGTCTGGCTATTCTCGGTCTTGCCTTCGTCTTTGATCCACTCGGATCACTATATCCCTCTGATAAGGCCCTCGAGGACTCCATCGAGCATGGAAAGGTGTCCAGGATATGGCTGAGGAGGTTCAAGTGGTTCTGGTGGATGCGGCGGGACGAGAGTGCCAATGAAACATTTCAACATGTTGCTGGTGAGACATAGGTACATACAGATTAATTACAGATGAAATGATGGAAATCAATATTGAAGAAAACGAATTAATTGGTAAAAAAATTCAATTTTTTTACCAACTTAAAGTAATCTCTAACAGGGGAATTAATTAGTGTGATAATTAATTTAATGTTTGATATTTAATTCATTTTTTCTTTTTAGTTGAGATTTTTTTCTAACTTGAGATGATATTTTTAACAATTGGCATTAATTGCATTAATTAATAACAATTTATTGATGTAATTAAATAATAAAAATTTTGGAACAAAAAAATGCTGAAATTAAAAAAAAATGTTCTAGTTGGAAATTGTTTTTCCAGGATTATTGAGTGCTCTCTTCAGAGGGACTGATTTAGTTCCCTCGGATATTATGGCTGGTTGCGTACTGCTGCGTGTCAGACAGAAACGCGAAACACTCGAGTTACGACGACTCAATATCCTAGAACGTCCGGAATATACCGTAGGTAAGTGGAATGAAATATGAATAAAAAATATCATGTTTTCTGAACTCATGCATATCCATCGTTTCAATTCAGACATTTCTTCGAATACATTTTTTCATTATTTTCAATATTATAAAATAAAAAATAGTATTCGCGGATGATTCGCATTTATTTATTCACTCATTTCAGTCATTTTCAATTTTAAAATTCCATCCTTTGCCATTTTTTCTTCTTTCATTATCCACTAAAAGTTTAGAAAAATTTCACATTTTGTCAATTGGATTTATCTCGTCAATTATCGCTCCTATCGAAAAATCTCAAAGGACCTTTTTTATTGGTCACAAAATTTCCAATAAAAAATTTCATTTGATGTTTTCCGCTAGAATCACTCCTTATCGAGATAATATCCCTTGAAAAAAAAAAGAAAAGAAAAAATACACTAGTTTAATTCTCATCTGTCAAAAAAAAAAAAAATTCAATCAATTTCCAGACGCGAAAACGATATTCTCCAGCCACCCCCCCTGGATGTCCCTGGAATGGGCCCACCACTACATAAAATTATCGATAGCCTCCTACAGTTGGCTGTTCGTCATGTACCAGCATATTTTCACCGGCTGTTGCAAGCTAATACCGAACATGACCTGTTGTGCATGTTTGCGGAGGAGGGAGCACAATGTTCTCGATGATAACTGTTGTTTATGCAGTCTAGCTGGGGTCAAGCAACTCTCGAAACTCTCCGAGGACGATATCCTGTTCGCGTCTTTTCGGAATCATCTGTGTGAGGTACGGGTAAAAAATACTCATGGAAAATTTTTAAAACACCAGGACATTAACCCGAAGGAGTAAAGATTGACTCTCGTTATGGAAATTTTGGGGTAGAGTAATTGCTGGTAAATCTCATGTATCGAAAAGCCGAACAGAAGTCACGCCATCGACAAGTCCCAACGTTGGCGGCCAACATTGCCCCAATGTTGGCGGCCAACATTGCCCCTATGTTGATGGCAAACATTGCCCCAATGTTGATGACCAACATTGCATGAACCCTAACAGCCAACATTGACCCAAAGTTGCTAGCCAACATTGTCCCAACGTTGGCGCTCAATAATGCCATAACGTTGACAGCCAACATTGCTTCAACGCTTCATTGCTTGGGGAATGTTAATGACCAACGTTGACCACCAACATTGGCAGCCAACACTGCCCCAATGCTGGCAGCCAACATTGGCCCAACCTTGTCAGCCAACACTGGCCCAACCTTGACAGCCAACAGTGGCACAACCTTGGCCGCCAACATTGGCCCAACCTTGGCAGCCAACACTGACCCAACGTAATTTTTTTTTACCTTTTCCTGAATATTGGTTACAAAATAAATTTTTTCAACGGCAGATGATGCAATCAATCTCATGATCGAACTCGGTCAAGATGGCCTTGATCAGAATATTTTAAATCACAATTGGATTCATTAAATTAATTAAAGACACATCTCTCACTCAAAGACAAATGTAAAAACATCTTTTTTTTCTCTGTAAAAAAAAGTATGATCTCCCACATCAATATTTTTATACCCCCAAAATTCGCAAATTCCAGATTCCATTCTGCGTGATAGCAGACCACAAAGCGGCGAGTATAGCCGTCGTGATAAGGGGCTCTCTATCCCTGAGAGACCTGATAACAGACATCGCGGCGGCCTCGGCGTCCTTCGAGCCGCCAGGATTGCCAAAAGGCAGTATGGCCCACAGGGGGATGATAATCGGGGCCAAAGTCCTCTTAAAACAGCTCAATAAGTACAAAGTCCTTGAGAAGGCCTTCGAGGCCTACCCCCACTACTCCCTAGCCCTGACTGGGCACAGCCTAGGCGCCGGCTTGGCAGTCCTCCTAGCCCTCCTGATACGCCCACGGTATCCCAATCTACGAGTCTACGCCTTTGCGACACCAGCTGGACTCCTCAGTAGAGAAGCAGCGAAGGTAGGTCTTGGAGGTTCCAAATACCCCCTCCCCCCCCCCCTCATTAGATCAGGATCCTCAAAAAAATTTTTAACCCTTATTTACAATCCTTTTTTGNAACCTTTTTTTGACCCTTATTTACAATCCTTTTTTGACCTTTTTTCCGACCCTCATAATCCTTATTTTTGACTTTTATTTCTAGTCCTTATTTGACCCTTCTTCTTGACCTTCATTTCACATTATCATCTTTCACCCTCATTTGTGACCTCCGTGACCCTTATTTCTGGCCCTCATGAGCCTCAATTCCATGAATCGATTTTTGTGAATTACTTCTGATTCCTGAATACAATTATATTTAATCCTTTCTTAACCCTCCCTTTTGACCCTTATTTCGAATTCTCATTTTTTGCTCTCAATTGTGATCCCCATGACCCTTATTTTTAACCCTTCTTTGACCCTCATTTCGGACTCTCATCGTTCACCCTTATTTCGAATTCTTATTTTTTGCTCTCAATTGTGATCCCCGTGACCCTGATTCTTTGACCCTCATTTCGGAGTCTCATTTTTTACTCAATTATGATTCTTCTAATCCTTCTTTGACCCTTATTTCGAACTCTGATGTATTACCCTCAATTGTGATCCTCGTGACCCTAATTTTTAACCCTTCTTTGACCCTCCTTTCCGACCCTTATTTCAAACTGTCACTTTTAACCCTCGTGACCCTTATTTCTGACCCTCGTGAGCCTTAACCCCGTAATTTGACTTTTATCACTCAAATCGCATTATCTCTTCTTCCAATTTTCTCAAGGTCACCGAAGATTTTGTCTTCACCGTCGGTCTCGGTGACGATTTGGTCATGCGACTGAGCGTCGACAGCATTGAAAATTCAGGACAGGTCTCCTAATCACCCTGCAGGCCCTCAATTGTGATCCTCGTGACCCTAATTTTTAACCCTTCTTTGACCCTCCTTTCCGACCCTTATTTCAAACTGTCACTTTTAACCCTCGTGACCCTTATTTCTGACCCTCGTGAGCCTTAACCCCGTAATTTGACTTTTATCACTCAAATCGCATCTTTTCTTCTAATTTTCTCAAGGTCACCGAAGATTTTGTCTTCACCGTCGGTCTCGGTGACGATTTGGTCATGCGACTGAGCGTCGACAGCATCGAAAATTTCAGGACAGGTCTCCTAATCACCCTCCAGGCCTGCAAACTTCCGAAATATCGAGTGGTGCTCAATGGTTTTGGTTACGCCCTATTTGGGGTGCCAGACCGAGATCTGAATAGAACATGGCGGAATGGCAACACGATCAACTCGATTCCGGGGCATTTGCCTCTCTTGGCCGATGGCGGGAATCATCGTCAGGGTGAGACACTCATCCTGGAGCACGACGTCTCCAGGAGGAGGTACTCCCAGGTGAGGCTGTACAATGCGGGGAGAATTCTGCACATGGCCAAGTGCAAGCTCGAGGATAAGGGGAAGAAGGGGGAGAGGAGGTTTGAGATGAGATGGGCGCAGCCCGAGGAGTTCATGGAGCTCTCGGTGATGCCCAGGATGCTCCTGGATCACCTCCCGGAGAATCTGGAAATCGCCCTGAGGAGTCTGATAAAGCAACAGGAGGAGGTGCCGATCTATCTCGAAGAGGTTTAGGTCGCTTGAGGGGGGGAGGCCCCGCGGGAAAATTGGGTTATGATGCGAGTACGAAAAACGACGCTTTATGGCCTAGGCCGGAAAGTGGTACTTTTGGCTCGGGTGTGGCGAAAAAGAATAGGGAATGAAAAAGGGTGTATTTTGATGAAATATTCAAATTAGTGATTGGAAAAATTGTTGAAGTTCTTCCTGGGGAACATGAATTATGTGTTTAGGTAAATGTTTAGTATTTATATACCAGTAATTTTCTATTGTATGGTTCATCACTCGATGATTAATATGATAGTTTTGTACATTCCAATGGATTTAATAAACCAATTTTGTATTAATGGAAAGAAAATTTATTTATTATGGTCAATAATAATTTGTCTACAGTCATGTATCTGTAATAAATATGCAATACTCGGTATTAATTGCACTCGCAAGCATCGAAGATAATTACTCGAACATTATTCATCATTATAATCATTACTGGAGGATAATCCAGTAGATAGAACAAACAAAAACGATTAATTTCACTCTTTTAGAAACTTCAAACTGTGCTCACTACATACAAGCATCCTCATCCCTCCACGTCTCCAGAATCTCGAGACATCCCCCAAAAACCTCCCAAATCAATGAATCCATTTGATCAAAGTCTCCACCAATTCCCTCATCACGTCATCATCTTCCACACCTGGATGACCCAAAGTCCTAGGACCTTCAAACCAGTCTCCCTCGATAGCCCGTAAAATTTCCGCTGGACAACTCATCCTGACGATCCCCTCACCTCTCCAACATCTCCAGTTATCACCAAAAAACCTTTTCACCCCCAAAATCATCGCTTCGTTGTATCACCCCAGGTACTCACTGAAAGTATCTCATCACGATGATTTATCAACCGTAAATTTCCCCAGCTATCCAATGAGACAATTCTCATCCCCCTACCTCTTCAGGTCCTCGAGTTATCGAAGAAAACGTGAATTCTAATGATTAATTTCCTCACGAGATCGATCGAACCAATTGCTTCCTAGTCTCCAGCTCTTCAGGTGTGAATGAATCCTGGGGAAGTGCTGTACGAAAATTTGTCCAGGTGATTCTTGGTATCACTGTGGGGGAACGAGACATCCATGAAGTCGTCATCGTCGTTCTCCTCCTCCTGTGTCTCCTGCTTCTCCTCCTCAACTTCTGGATTGACGGTACCCCGGTACTGCAGGTAGATCGGACTGATCATGGAGGAGCTCTTGGGGAGGATGTACGGGTCAAAAGGGAAGAACGTGTCCAGCCAGGAGGTGAGACGATTCGAGGTCTCTACGACTGGAAGATTCGTCCTGGCGTTGTGCTCCATCACTGTGTAACAATAAGCCAGCTGGTAGGTCCTCGTCACAGCTGCAAAGTGCTGAACAACCACTGGGACACACATCCTGAGGGGATTCAACTTGCATGTCACCATTTTTGTGAGGTTCAAACTTTGAAGGAAGAGTAAATCTGAAGGAATAAAAATATACGACTTAATAATCAAAAAATCATTCATCAGGGAGACATTCAAAGTTTCATGAAGTCAATTTAAAAAAACACTCACTCTTTTTAGCATCAACAAGGTCCTTATGCCTAAAGGCAATGACATAGAACAATGCCTGACAGATTGAGTAGAAAACCGTGTGGATCCTAATATCACTGTTGGCACATTCCAGACTGTCTTGAGCTGCTATGTAACTATGGATCCACGTGGACATCTCCTGGATGACCCTCGTGATGAGGCTGCAACATAAAAATCCACGAATCCCTCAAAAACCAATGATCCCAATAATCCCAAGCAAAAATTAAGCCCAGTGTGCCTCAATTACTTTTTGTAATTCCATGCTTTTATCTCTTTTGTCACTGTCTCCTGCACATGGCCTGTGTCATTTTTTACTTTGTACAACATAATATGTAGTTAATAAACGCCAATCAATCAATCATAACGAAGCCAATCAATAATACAGACGGATCAACAGGAAAAAATTATTCTAAAAAATTACCTGATAGGTACGAAGCTCCCCCTAGCCACCAGGCTCGCCAGATAGCAGACAGCAGACTGCCTCAGCACCGGAGCAACATTGGGATTGCTGACCCTGCCCCAGAGCCAATTGACGAAGGCCTCCACAATGGAGCCCTTGAAGCTGCACAGGTAGAAGTAGACGAACTGTACGTGATGGCTGGCATAAGTGGGCAGGATATTCTTCTCGAAGACGTCCAGCAGGTGGAAGTAGAGTCCCTTCACCCCTTCGGGGTCCAGAACACCCCCAGGATAGCAGGTGTCCTTCACGAATCGCAGAATCATCCCCATGCAGACGTCGAGGGTGTGCCCAATGGGGTGGACCTTCTCCTCTCGGGGCTTCTGGAGGCCGTCAGCCTCGTCGATCTTGAAGACATCCTCGTCCTCGTCGTTCTGGTCGTTGAAATCCTCAATCTCCGAACGGGGGGCGTTGACGTCGATGATGAGGAGTCTGTTGATGACCAGGGAGAGGATTTCCCCTCGCAAGTCCGGGGCGTAGGAGATTATCTGGAGGAGGGAGTGGATGTAGACCTCGTGGGCGTGGGTGGGGGCCTTGAAGAAGGGGAACTTCGTGGTGAGGGACTGCAGGAGGAGGTTCGAGGACATGGGGACGATTTTCAGGAGCTTGGAGATCACGTCGTGGACGTGCGTGAGGCGGACGAGGTCCTCTGGGGAGGGCACACCCTCCTCCCAGGGGTCGGGGGGCTGGCGAGAGGTGGGCGAATGCCTGCGGAAATGTCAGATGCCTGTCAGATTCGATATTCCTTTTTTCAATTAATTGTTTGTAATAATTCTCACTGCAGAAAGCAATACGAATGATGAGAATCACATGCCCCAATTTATCAGCTGTTAAATTTTCATATTACAATTAATGATTTGCTTATGGTCTAATTCCTATGCTCCCTGAATAAGATTTTAGTCGTAATTATGATTCAATTTCTTCCAGAATACACTTTAGAGTGTGAATTTATGGAATTCAATGTTTGTTGATACTCTGGTAAAAGTGCGTGCCCACACGGTTATCAATTTTTAGTTTGTTCACACGGCAATTCAATTAATCTGTTGTTCATCTCATCAGTATAATTCCGTGCTTAGAATATTGTCATCTCGTGTTTTCAGCACCAAATTAAAAATTAAAACTTCATTTGGAATATTGAGTCACAGCTTCTTTTCATTAATATCAGAAATTTTGTATTTGGATATTCATATTATTTGTTCAAAGTGAAAAAAATCATCATTTTCACTATATTGCATTCAGATTCTCCTATCGTTAACGTGAAAATGTGAGATTATCCCATAATTCTGGCTATTAATTCTGATCAACTTTGTTCGAAGGAAACCTCAGTAAACGCAATATTAAGAAAGTTGAATTATTCTATTTTCCTCTGACCTAAATGATTTGGATAATTATGATTCGTTTATTCATGTTTCACAGAATGGTATTCAATTCTCTTTCGTTTGTTGGGCGGGCTTCATGAAAACAGTCTTACTTTCTCCATTCTTTCGAGATATCCGCCAGGGGTGGACATTATTGGATTATTATTGCATTCTTCAATATTAAGAGAACTTCAGCCTTACATTCATTAAAATTCACATTTAATCATCAAAATTGTAAAGTAATAAAATAATTGATAATCTAAATTTCCGATTGACGATGCATTAAACAATGAAATTCATAAAAGGATTTTCGAATAACCAAATAATCGTCCATCTTCCTAACTAAATTATGGATTAATAAAATAATTCGGAATTTGAATATTTGATTAATGATTAATTTAATAATTAAAAAAATTCCCCATCTCCCTTAGATTCAAAAATATTCCTCCATCACCGCTACATCATGAAAATGGACATCCCCATCATCATCATCATCAAAAAAATTCTTATCACCTCAACAAAAAATCCGAAATAATTTTAAAAAACATTAATAAATAATAAAGAATTTTCTTAAAAAAAGGAATAATTTTTACGTCATCAAAAGTATGATTTTCAACAAGAGATAGTGGAAGTACTCACTCCAGCGGTTTGAACTCGTTCACCAGCTTCTCAATGACAACTTTGCAATGGTAAATGTGAACGCAAACAAGATCCTCCAGGAACGCCTTGTAAGCGTCAGCAGCCTCCTCGCACCTCGTGGTCCACGAGACATTGAGGATGACCTCCACCAGGAGCTTGTGATTGGGTCCCAAGAAGGAGATGCACTGCCGGATCTCACTGAGAAGATCCATCAGATCGTCGTCCCCGATTTCAGCATCCCTGAGCATACAAATGAGTCCATCGTAGCTCTTCCTATCGGCCCCAGTCTCGTAATTCAGGAGGATCTTCTTGAGGTCCTTGGGGGGCACGAAGATGACCTTGGACCACTTCTGGCGCTGCTTCGCTCGGTGGCCGGAGGTCGTGAGGATGGAGGAGAGGCTGGCGGAGCGTGTGGACACCACTGACATCTGGAAGAGTAAAAAAAAATGATGATTAAAATTGAGAAAGGGGGGAGTTTGACTCGCACAGGCTCCCCAGGAGGTCCTCCATGATCAGTCTGATGATCCTGCAGCACTTCATGAATGATTTGATTTGATTATTAAGTCGTATATTTTTTTATTCCTTCGGGTTTACGCTTCCTTCAAAGTCTAGATCTCCCAAAAATGGTGACATGCAAGTTGAATCCCCTCAGGATGTGTGTCCCAGTGGTTGTTCAGCACTTTGCAGCTGTGACGAGGACCTACCAGCTGGCTTATTGTTACACAGTGATGGAGCACAACGCCAGGACGAATCTTCCAGTCGTAGAGACCTCGAATCGTCTCACCTCCTGGCTGGACACGTTCTTCCCTTTTGACCCGTACATCCTCCCCAAGAGCTCCTCCATGATCAGTCCGATCTACCTGCAGTACCGGGGTACCGTCAATCCAGAAGTTGAGGAGGAGAAGCAGGAGACACAGGAGGAGGAGAACGACGATGACGACTTCATGGATGTCTCGTTCCCCCACAGTGATACCAAGAATCACCTGGACAAATTTTCGTACAGCACTTCCCCAGGATTCATTCACACCTGAAGAGCTGGAGACTAGGAAGCAATTGGTTCGATCGATCTCGTGAGGAAATTAATCATTAGAATTCACGTTTTCTTCGATAACTCGAGGACCTGAAGAGGTAGGGGGATGAGAATTGTCTCATTGGATAGCTGGGGAAATTTACGGTTGATAAATCATCGTGATGCGATACTTTTAGTGAGTACCTGGGGTGATACAACGAAGCGATGATTTTGGGGGTGGAAAGGTTTTTTGGTGATAACTGGAGATGTTGGAGAGGTGAGGGGGTCGTCAGGATGAGTTGTCCAGCGGATATTTTACGGGCTATCGAGGGAGACTGGTTTGAAGGTCCTAGGACTTTGGGTCATCGAGGTGTGGAAGATGATGACGTGATGAGGGAATTGGTGGAGACTTTGATCAAATGGATTCATTGATTTGGGAGATTTTTGGGGGATGTCTCGAGATTCTGAAGACGAGGAGGGGTGAGCGTGGGCAGTATGATGAGATATTTTTGGGGAGGCCTTAATGAGTTTCTTGAGGGTTATAAGGGCGAAACGAAGGCAGAATCGAAGCTCTCCAGGGGAAATTCCAAATCTTCAAACTCGGATTCGTGGGATCCTGAAGTCAATTATCGGTGAGTTATTGGCATTTTTACAGAGACAAATGATTCTTGAGGAGTTTGGGGAGTTCGGAGAAATGTCACATGGAAAAAGTAAGGTTAAGGTAGCTCTTAAACATCAGGAAGTGATAATTACCTTGGATAACTGCTGATAAACGTCCACAGGTGCTCAGAAACCTATTCCGATTGAAAATATTGCAATTCAAACTTTATTTCTTAATAAATCACTGTCTAAAGTTTCTGAGGAACTTCACCACATGCTCGACACTTCAGAAACTTCAATCTATCAGTTGCACAACACCCTGAAACTCCACGAAACCCGGAAACTTGATTATCTACAGTGAAAAGTCGATAATTAATCTAAAATTTGGAAACTCATAAGTTTATGGATAGATGTCACTCCACCCGAATTCAAATGGAGATGGAAAATGACCGTCATTTTAGACTGCGTCATATGACCAAAAAATGTCATTAGGGGAGGGTGGGGTAAAATGGACACTTTAGAGTTTTTTAAAATTATTTATAACTCAGAAATTTATCAATTAAGCTCAGTTTAGACTCGTCACAAAGGGAAAGAGTTGTTCTTTGTATTGAAAAAAAAAATTATTGAATTTTGTTAACATTTTAACCTCATTAACATTTTTAAAAAAGTCAAAAATGTCCGTTTTACCCCAGCCTCCCCTATAGTATACTACAATTAACTGAATTAATTTTTTTGATTTATAAAAAAATTGTTTTTTTTTCTGTGATTTTTTTATTCAAATCATCTGGCTACAATGATCTGAACCCATCCTCTCCCGCCATTTTTTCTCAATTTATTTTTATGAAAACAAAATAAATTTATTAACTTATTAAATAACTAAATAAACTTAATAACTTATTAAATAAATAAATTTATTAATTTAAACAAAAAATAAATTTTCTCAATTTATTTTTATGAAAACAAAAAAAATTAATTTAAAACGATCTTAAGGATGAAAAAACTCTAAATGATGACATTTATCATACTCTTCAGCATTCAATGACCCCACCCCCACTTTCCACAACCTCCCCTCCCTCAAACGCCTATCGCCCACTCGGAAAACTCGGAAAATTAATGGAAAAACTCTGGAATCTGGATCTAGATGTCACTGCTCTCGAAAATTCAAATATTTCCCGCCATTTCCGTCCCATAGAAACACGTGGTCGCGTGCGACAGCCCTCTCATCGCCCCCCAAAAAACCCTTAAATTCTCAAATATCTCTAAAAAAAAGTCCTGAATTGACATCCGCAAAGTCAATAAAAATCTCTATCCCCAAATTCAAATAGTTCCCGCCATTTAATCAACATAACCAAACATTCTCCTGGGATCTCCACAGACCCCAAAAAATCAGTAAAAATCCTCAAACCTCCCCAAAATCCCCACAAAACAACCCCCACCCCAAAACCATCCAAAAATCCCTGAAAAATATCAAGAAAACCCCAAACCCAATCAAGAATCCCCCCACCCGTCCCCGGAAAATCTGGAAAAACCCCGGAAAACTCCGCAACCTCTCCCCCCACCCGCCCAGATGCCACCCACTAAAAAATTCAAATATTTCCCGCCATTTCCGTCTACCATAGAAACACGTGGTTGCGTCAGTAAGTCTCTCGTCTCCCCCCATGTGCCAAAACCGTCCCAAACCTCCAAAATCCTCAAATACCCCAAAAAAAGGCTCCAATTAACATCAAGAACATCAACAAAAATTGCTATCGCGAAATTCAAATAGTTCCCGCCATTCAATCAACATAACTAAACATTCTCCTGGGGTCCCTACAGACCCCAAAAAATCAGTAAAAATCCCCAAAATCCCCCACAAAACAACCCCCACCCCAAAACGATTAAAAAATCGCAGAAAAATATAAAGAAACAGCCAAACTCAGTCAAAAATTCCCCCACCCGTCCTCGGAAAATCCGGAAAAACCCCGGAAAACCCGTCAACCTCTCCCCCCAACCGCCCAGATGTCGCCCCCTAAAAAATTCAAATATTTCCCGCCATTTCCGTCTACCATAGAAACACGTGGTCGCGTTCGTGAGCCTCTCGTCTCCCCTCACGCTCCAAAACCGTCCCAAACGGGGTCGAACCCATCGATTTCCGCGCAAAAAAAATTCCCAAAAATCAAAAAACCCCCCGAGAAGTCGTGCCCCATCGCCTCCCCAATTCGACTCGAAAAATAGTCGTGCAGCGAGCGACTGCCGTGCGGAGGCATCCATTCGGTGGCGCAGTTGTGTCTCAACAGTCAAAGCCCCCCAGTCCATTTGTACACCACCTCAACACCCGTAAAATGGCGATAGGCCAGTTGTTATTTACTCTCAACGCTCCATTCCCGATGGAATATCATCATTAAATCCTCACCACAAATACATCAGACATAATCAACGGATTAATCAACAACTGGAGGTCATTTTTCACGAGTGATTGAAGGTAATTAACGACAATTAATCCACTGAATTTTGTATCTCGCGTTGAAAAATTATCGTCCGTTCAGTCCTCTCGCTTCGATTTTTGCGTTTTTATTATTTCGAATGTTTCACGCATTCTCAAGAAAGTTTTCATTATTTTTTCGGCGGGGAGGGGGCGGTGGAGGGGGGGAAATAGAGGGGGGACAGGAGAATTTCGTCGTTTTGTGGGGAAAATCGAGAAATTTTCGGGGGTTTTATCCGGAATTCTTCGGGTTTTCAGCGGTTTTGGGGGATTTTTTTATATTTGGGGGCGGGAGAGGGGGTTTTTAGCTGTTAGGGGGAGGGAGGAGGGGGTGGGAGGTGAGTTTGAAGGGTTTTTTTTTGTTTTTTGGAAAACGTTTGCGTTTTAGGTTATGGATTTGGTCAGTGGTCTTCGGGTTTCAGGGAGGGATTTTGAGGTTTGAGGGGGGAGAGGGGAGGGGGAAGGGCGAAGGGGTTGATTAGGAAATTTTATGAGGAGGGAGGGGTTGGGAGGGAGTTTTGAGGGTGCAACGAGAGGTTTTGACGATTTTTTTTTGGGAGACGTGCGTTTGGCAAAGTCGTGGGGCAAAATGGGTTGGATTTTTTTAAGAACGAGTGGGGACGGGTTTTATGAGGGATTTTTTGACCCGATGAACGTGTGAGATAGGCGAATTTCGAGCAATTGATATTTTATTTTTGTGGAATTAACTGAAATTTCGGGTTTTCGGTTGGTTTTAGTGTTTTTTAGATATTGGAAATAATTGTTTGAGGGTTTTTTGTTATTAAAAAGTGTTTTAAGGCATCAATGAGTCATATTGGAGTCGTAAATGTCGATAAATGATGGAGGAAGAATTTTTATTTATGTCAAGTTCAAGTTGTGGGGTCAAAAAATATTTTTTCTAGTGGAGAAATGATTATTTATTTTGTAAATTGAGGGGAGAATTGTTGGGGGCAATCGGTGGGCTAGATTTCGACAGTAGAGACGTCTAAGAATGAATGAATTGAAGAGAATTGAAATTTTATACTTATTGGAAAAATTAAAAATTCAGTCTTTCGATGAGGTTTCGTAGAATAAATGATTTAGAAAATATATATTCAATTATTTCTATCCTTTGAAAGTACTTTTGGAACATCAGTGCTTCATATTAAAGTCGTAAATATCAATAAAGATGGAAAAAACATTTATTTTGAGATAATAAAACTTTTATTTTCCTTCGAAAATTGAGGTTTTGTTCTTCTGATGACGAAAAAACCTTGAAAAAAATCAACCCCACTGATTTTTATAATTAAATATTAATATTTAAACATTAATACTTCATTTATTGATGATGAACAGCCAAAAATGATGAAATAACAAATTTTCAATTCCTCAAATTCAATATTTTGTGGCAAAATCCATTTAAAAACTCGAAAACCGGCGAAAAAAAAATTTCTCCCCTGATTTTACGCTATCGATTATTGCATCATCAAAACACTGACTCTGTTTTCCCATTTCAGGTGATTCTTTCATGGCCCGCAAGTGCATAACCACCCGGAGAGTCCCAAAAACCGAGAGAGCAAAATCATCGACAAAATCATCAGATAAAAACACGAAGGGATTGATGACAACGAAGATGATCTAACGGTGTTTGTGTGAATGTGCAGGAACATAACCAGTAAAACCCCTTGTAATTGTGTTGAACAGGTTGTTATAATATGGCACAGTATTACAATCTCATCGCTGAAAACGGTGTTCCTATTGTGATTGACGATGGACAACAGTACTGCACTGTCGATGGAAATATACAATTTGTTGTGCAGGATCTCAATAATTGTGTCAATGGGGGTACGAGATTTGTGACGTATACACCGGCTGTACAGAACAGTGAACATATTTTTACACAGACTGGTGGACAGTTGCAGGGACAAATTGAACCGAGGTATTTTTTTTTCAATTTTAAAATTCAGGGAAAATTTTATTTTTGAGAATTGTAGTATATTTTTTGTAGAGAATTAAAATTTATTTTGGGGACAAATGTCTCGAAACATTCCATTTTTTAAATTTTCAATTAATAATCTTAAATCTCAAATTTTAACTATTAATCGCTCAATTTTATCAGTCTTGAGACATTTTTTGTGGAGAATTTAGAGGATAAAATGCCTCAAGAATTTTTGATATAATTGAATGCTTGTATTTTTTAGTGAGTATTTATTTATTTCTCTTGATAACAGTTGGTTTTAGGAAGCAATTGTAAGACAAGTTTTTTTTGTAGAAAATTAACTTCCTAATGAAAAATGGATCTAGACATTCTCTAATTAATGCTTTATAACGATTACAGGTACAAAATAAACAGAGGTCTTTTTTTATTTAAAAATTCAGGGGAAATTTTATTTTTGGGAATTGTGGCATCAGGAGGGAGTGGTTTTTTTGAGAAAATATATTTGTAGACAATTAGATTTTGGGAACAAAATGTCTCGAAACATTTCTTTTTTTTTAATTTTTAATTAACAATATCAAATTAAATCTCAAATCGTAACTGTTAATCATTGAATTTTGTCATATAATGTAGAAACATTTTTGGTAGAGATTTTTAAGGACAGAACAACAGAAAGTAATTCATAACAAAATTCTTGTTTATTTGTTTATGGGAAATTTTTTTTGATAGTAATTTTTTGATAGCGAGGCTTTTTGTAGATAATTTACTTCCCAATGAAAAATGGATCTTAGCATTCTCTGATTAATTGATTAAGTATAATTGATTTCATTTGTAGAGAATTAATTTTCGAACGAAAAATGTCTCTTGATCTTCTGCTGGAATCATTAATTGACGAGACATTGGGATTTTAATTGACTTGTGCCTGCTTGTTAAACCAATGAGTTGAGTTCGATTTTTCTTTTTCATTTTCATTATCAATTTGACTCGTCAACAAGTGGCTGTAGGGAATGACAAGATATCAAGGGACATTCTTTCTAAAGAATTAAATTATAAAGAAGAAATATCTCAAAAAATTTTCTTCTCATATCACTCATTTTCCAGGAATTTAATAAAATTACAAAGCCATCAATGATTGAAATTTGACATTTTTCCATTTCAATTAATTCTTGAATAGTAATGAGACGTAATAAATGGAGTCTGACTTTTTATCAATTGTGCCTTCATCTTGTTAAAGAAGGGGAAAATATAAATTAATTAAGGGAAAATGTCAAGAGAACTTCCCGTGGCCAATTGAATTTACAAAACGAAACGTTTGAGTCCATCGACATTTTCTTCTTAAATTCACTCATTAATTATTAGGGAAATCGGATATTTAATATGAAAGGTATTTAAGATGAAAGGCCTTTAAAATAAATCGTGAGATTGTAAAATATGTCCTAGATATTTCACTGTGCAGGACACTATTTTCCGATCCTTTCCCACATCTTGTTACGTTTTATCCAAAGGTTTTCCTTTTTTCCTCCTCCATTGGTTAAGCGTTCAGAATTCGAATGAAAAGTGATTTTATTTCGAGCAAAAACGAAATGATGGAGTGAATATTCAGGGAACATCATTTTTCAATGGAAAAAACCTGAAATGTTTGCCTAAAAAATCAGTTATTCACTGATAAGCTGTCCTTTTCCCTCTGACGCTCCCCAAGTTGTGGATAAAATAAATCAGAATCAGTGATTATCCACCAAAGCCCCCCTTAAAAATTCATATGAAACCTAAATTTATAATTAGAAAAAAATATCACAAATTAATCACAACATCATAATAATTCAATTGAATAACAATGACCATCTCCTCAATCAATTCCCTCAAACCCAAAAATTCACCGAAAAATCCGTCTTTATTCCAGACAAAGCGTCTACATAATAAACACAGAGGACCACATTTCGCTGCCCGCTCCCTTGAAACCCACAACCCCCCCAGAGACCTCAAACTTCCTGATAACGGACACTAAGAACCCCAATGATCCTCAGGTCCAGTGGGTAACGTTTTCTGACCCCTCGAAAATGTCTCCAAAGCCTCAGCCCCCGCAGAAGCCCCCCCAGACCCCCCAGTCAACCTCTAAACGCCCCCCAAAACCCAAACAACAGCCGCAGCTTCAGCCATCCCCCATCCCACGTCCCAAAATCCTCCCCCCAAAGCCCTCCCCGCGTTCGCCGATTCATCCAGATCCTCAAAAGCCCCTCAAAGCCTTGGCCCCCACC